CGGGCCTTCTTGGCTGTCTGGGCACACTGTTGGCTCATGGTCAGACAGCTGTTGAACAGCATCCCAGGCCCTTTTCCACTGGGACACTTTCCAGCCACTCTGCCTCCTTCTGGACTTTCTTGTGGATGGGCGTCACACTGGTCAACCTCCAGCCATCTGGAACCTCCCCAGTTTGCCAGGACTGGTGACAAACGATGGAGAATGTCTTGCTGAGCTATTCTGCCAGCTCCCTTAATATCCTAGGGTGAGTCCCATCCAGACACGTGGACTAGGAGGGTCTAAGCGGCACAGGAGGTCACTTAACTAATTTCTGCTGGATTGCAGGGGATAGATTCTGCTCCCTGTCCCTGTCTACCAGCTCAGGTAGATAACTGGTCTTTCTGTTAAGGACTGAGGCAAAGAAGGCATTAAATACCAGAGCCTTTTCCTCAGCCTTGGTTACAAGGTTCCCCTTCACATCCAGTAAAGGTTGGAGATTTTCCTCCTTTTGTTGTTAATGTACTTATAAAAACATTTTTTATCTTTCACAGCAGTGGCCAGATTAAATTCTAGCTCAGCTTTCACCTTTCTAATATTCTTTCTACACAACCTAACAACTCATGTGCTCTTCCTGATTTCCCTCCCTCTTCTTGCAAAGATGATAAACTCTCTTTTTTTCCCTGAGTTCCAGTGAAAGCTCCCTGTTTAACCAGGCCAGTCTTCTTTCCCAACAGCTTAAAGACATGGGGACTGCCTGCTCCTGCATCTTTATGATTTCCTTCTTAAAGTATGTCCAGCCTTCCTGGGCCCCTTTGTCACTAAGGGCTGTTTCCCAAAGGACTCTCCAAACCAGTGTCCTGGACAGGACAAAATCTGTCTTCTGGAAGTCCAAGATAGAGTTTTTGCTGGCCCCCTTTCTTATTTCACTAAGAATTGAAAACTGTCATTTCATGGTTGCTGTGCCCAAGACAGCCTCCAACCACCACAGCTCCCACCTGCTCTGTTTGTAAACAGCAGGCCTAGCGGGGCACCACCGCTGCTAAGCTCACTTACCAGCTGCATCAGGAATCTATCTTCCACACACTCCAGGAACCTCCTAGACTGCCTCCCCTCTGCTGTGTTGAGTTTCCAAGAGACATCCAGCAAGTTAGTCTCCCATAAGAACAAGGTTAGTGATTGTGAAACATCAGCCAGCCACTTACAGAATAGTTCATCTGCCTCTTCATCCTGGTTGGGTGGTCTATAACAGACTCTCACCACGATGTTTGTCTGATGTTGTCTTGCTAGCCATCCCTGATTGTTACCCATAGACACTCAACCTTATCACCACTATCCTTAAGCTCTGAACAATTGAAACACTCCCTAATATACAAAACCACCCCACTGCCTCTTCCTCCTCACTTGACCCTTCTGAAGTGCTTGTAGCCACCTATTTAGCACTCCAGTCTTGTGAGTCATCCCACTGTGTTTCCATGAAGGCAACTGAGTCATAGCCTTCCTGCTGCAGAATGACCTCCAGCTTCTCCTGTTTGTTACCCACACTGTGTGCATTGGTGCAGATCCACTTCAGTTGGGCTATTGATTTCATCCCCAACTCTGGCATGCCTCCTCTAGGCTAATTTCTAGTGACCCTGGCCTTATCACCTTTCCCCTTCAAACCTAGTTTAAAGCCCTCTCAATCATCCTTGTCAACTGATGGGCTAGAATACTTTTCACCCTCTTACAGAGGCAAGTCTCATTGGTCTCCATCAGGCCTGGTGCTGTATAAACTCTTCCATGTTCGAAAAAGCTAAAACTGCACCAATGGCACCAGTCTTTAAACCATGTTTGATGAGGTTGGTTCTCCTGTTTCTTTCAGCACTCTTCCCTGCTACTGAAAGGATTGAAAAAAACACCACCTGTGCTCTTATCCCTTCAACCAGTCATCCCAGTTCCCTGAAGGTCTTTTTCGTTGTCCTAGGATTTTCTCCTCAACCTCATCACTGCCAACCTGGACACCCAGAAGTAGGGTGGGTTGAATCAGTCCAGGGAATCTTCTAGTAATATCCCTTACCCAGGCCCCAGGGAGGCTGCCCATGTCCCTGCGGGATAGGTCTGGTCAGCATACAGGGTATTCTGTTTCCCGCAGAAGGGAGGGACCTACAATAATTATCCTTCTTTATTTCTTAACAGCCATAGTAGTAATGTGTCTGGTTGATTGACTTGTTCCAGATAGATCTTCACCTTCACTATTTGCCTGACCCTGAAGTTCCAGAGCCTAGTACCTATTCCCATCTTCCTATCTCCCTTGAAAAAAAAAAAAAGGCACAAAAAAGTTATTAATTGAATTGTAATATCTAGAATTGGGTCACAGAGCTTTTAAAAATCAATCAGGAATTCTTTCTTCCTAGATAGGTTTTCCACCTGATTGTCCCCAAAAAACCATCATGCCCTCTCTGTCACAGATATATATTTGGTCCTAGTCTGGTCGCTTCTTTTAATATGCTTAGATTGAAGTTTTGTCTACTCCTGCCTTGACTTAAAAAAAAAAAAAGTCAGATCAGAAATCCATTAAGGGCATTAGACTTTGTGCCTTTATTTCCAAAAGATGAATTATCCTAAAATAGGTGTGCCTTGTCACCTATTGGGTGTCCAAGATTTAAGCAACCATAATTTAAGATCCAAGTTGCTTTACAGATCCCTGACAAACATCACTTAGCTGTTACGTCCCAAACACCTTCAACCTCAAGTTATCACAGTCCATGAATAAATAAAAAATAATCTTTATTGATGTATTTTTCAATCTTTATGTGTTTTCCATTATGTATAACATAACTGAAAGTTATGCATTACACAAAGCTCTAAACAGCAAGATTACATGATCTTTGTTCAATTTGTTTTGCAAGAGGTGGAAGCAGGGGCAAGTGACTTAGAAGTATAGAGGTGCTGTGTGGTCATAAAAGTATATGGTTAGAAAAGCCCAGGCTGACCTGGAGTTGAATTTGGCAGAAGACATAAGAAGCAACAAGAAAGGATTCTGCAAGCAAATCAGCAGCAGAAAGGAGACTAGGGAAGACATGGACCTACTGCAGAACAGACAAAGGACTTGAAGAAGGTAGATGTATTTAATGCTTTTTTTGCCTCAGGATTTACCAAAAAAGATGGCTCTCAGGTGTCCTAGATCCCTGAGACTAGAGGGAAATTCTGCATCAAGGAAGACTTACCCTCAGTTGAGAAAGTTAGGGAGCACTTAAACGGAGCATCTAAAAGTATGCATCCTTTCAGCAGAGGAGAACAACAGTATTTTGTGATGCATTAAGAAGAATATCATGAGCAGATCAAGGGAGGACATCCTTCCCCTCTTCTCAGTGCTGGTGAGTCCACACCTGTAGTACTGTGCATGGCTCTGGGCTCCCCAGTACAAGGCAGATGTGGACTTACTGAGGCAAGTTTAGCAGAGAGTCACAAAAGTGATTAAGAGATTGGAGCACCTAACATATGATGAGAGGGTGTTGTGGTTTAGGAACGGTATTCCCCAGTTTAGTGTTCCCACCGAAACACTCCAAACCACATGCTGCTCACTCACTCCCATCCTCCCTCCCTCTCCCCTGCAATGGGATGGAGAAGAGAACTGAAGGCACAAAAAGTACAGACCGGGGGCTGAGATAAGAACAATTTACTGGAAACAGCAATGAGAGAAGAAAACAGTAACAGCTACAATATTGATAACAGAGGGAACCAGCACTACCTGACCCCTCCCCTCCACCACACTTACTTGACCAGAAGGGACCCCTTCCCCCATCCCCTCCATATGACCTGAGGTGGTATAGAATAACATCTGTGTCATAGCCATGCCTCCTCCTGGTTACTGCAAAATTTAACCCTGTCCTGGCCAGAATCAAAGGCCAAGTTACCTCATATAGACTGTCGCTTGGATGTAATTTTTATAATTTTTCATCATTATGGGTACAACAACTAAAAAAAACCAACCAAACAAACAAACAAAAAAAAACATCTAAAAAAAAATTCCAGTTGTGTGATTATATGCACAGACAAATGTGAAAGATACTGTGGCAACTAGCAACTGACCAACGTAAACACGTATTCAAAGATTCTCAGCAAGCCCTGCATATAACTGTTCGTCATCTTCAGACATTTGCCACACCAACATGATAAATACATCTCAAGAGTCTAAAAAGTTATTTGAATTTTGATTAAATTACATCCATATCCAGTAACTAAAAAGCCAAAGCCATTTATTCTTCAGAAATTCAGAGGCATAACAGGTTCGTAACTAAGATTTTAAACCCATCTAAAAAACCATCTAAATATATCTGTAACTTGTTTTACATTAATTTCATTGTAATATTAGAACTTTAATTCTAGTGCTTAATCAAGATTTTTTTGAGTTGATTTTTGCTGAAGTTTTTAAGTGTTTTTACAGACTTAAAATTATTTTTAGATGTATGCAGTTCCTGATATTCATGTCTGTTTTCTTTTCATTCTTCCCAGCTTTTTAAAGTACCTACAACTCTTCTACCATTTCAGTTACCAGGCAGTAGATTGTAGCAAAGTCACGTAAGGCTACCATGAACATGTAACTGCACAATTCCGAAGACAGAGATACTTCAGAGCAGTAAAGAACATTGAGATTACCAGATTTAAAACCTGCAATACGTAAACAGATTCAGCAGAACTTCTGGGAGGGGGAAAAAAAAAAAAGAAATCTGAGTTTTCAACCAGTTCAAAGCAAAATCCACAGAGGCCACTCAATCCCAGTTCCTTCAAAATCAGGAGGAACATGTAAGGGTGGCATGGTAACGTCACTGAACAACTTGTAAGCTGTTGACATGGTTGCTGCCTCCCAGTTTTTCTATACCTGCTTTTGAATTGAACAAACTCACTATCTTTCAATTTATCTTAACTGACATCAAAGTAACATAAATCTAAGTAACCATATGACTTTTTTAACACTTTGACTGGAATAAAGAAAATAATGAACACAATTGAAAATAATTGAACATAATTAAAAAAAAAAATACCTGTTATTGAACAGTACACTATGTGAGGAGCAACATTTTTAATGTCTTCATAACCTAAACCCATTTCAGCCAGTTTCCCAGGGATGTAGTTTTCCACAAAAACATCAGATGCTGCTGCAAGCTTTAGAAAAGAAATGGATGAGTAAGATTCGTTAATTAGCTTCCAAAAGTTCAATACATTCCTATGTATTATGTAATTTAATTTTAAAAACCTCAATAATCAAAATGGCTCTAGTCTTTCTAATAAGAGAAAACTTACAAGCCTAGAGATATTTTTTTGCCTGTTAGACTGTGCAATTCTGCGAACTACATATTAGAGATGTCGCATATCTATAAAAAAGACTGTCAAAATCCTAAAGTGATTAGACAAAACTGTGATATTACACATTGATGTGATATTATCACATCAATTTCCTATGGCTTGACAACAGTTTACAGAACAATCTTCACCTATATACTTGCACTTACCTTGAGAAAAAGGAGGTAGAATGTATCTTCATCCTTCATTTCTTTTCTACCTTAGAAATAATTTTAATTGGTTTTCATTTTCAAATCATTGATTACAATTAGACCAGCTTCTATAAACTAGTGTCATCATAACAACGACATGCACTTTTGTTTTAGCATGTCAGCTGTTCAACCAAATTTAAGGCCAAAGAAGCTGCCAAGTCTGCAAATATTTAACAGGAAAGACAGAAGAAATTGATTCTTATTTAGACAAGGCAGCACTCAACTTATAAATGGTTTAATTTGATGCACAGAAAAGACATTAATAACATTTATAGTAACTACATGTGGCACATGGCAAAGGTGCATTTTAAAATATGTTATTAAGTATTTTTAAAGTGGCTATGTCAAGGACCTGTAGGACTATAATGAAATAAGAAACAGATCCTTAATTAGGGAAATATAACTGGGACAAGCTGCTAGGTTTTAATAGTATGCCTTTATGAAAAATAAAGGAGGTTTTATTTTCTATTTAAATTCATTACAGTTCACACGTAAATACTTTTTAAACTGGTAATGCTACAGCCTTAGCCTAATTCATTCGAGAGACAAAACTGGTTAAAAACTATATTGCTTTCGCCAGGATTTTATGATGTCTGCAAATTATAGTGATTGTAAGGGCTAAGATGGTTTGAAAGTTGTTGTCCATCTCATATTGAAGAACTATCATCTCCTACAAGCCACTGAGGAAGAAATCGTGACACACGGTACTGTAACATGATGAGTAACTCTGGACTTGGTAACATACATGGGATGACAATGATGAGGATACAGTGACTTGGGCCCAGTTTAGCAGGGTATATACTCTCAGAGAAATGAATTTTCAAGACATCCTACAAGTGCTGCATCAGCTCTACAGCTAAAGTTTTTGTGGCACTTGGAAACAGACTTTAATGCATAAAGACAGTATTCTATGTATGGTACTTTTGATGCTCACTGAACCCACAATTCTGCCATTGTGGAAAATGGATTCAGACTCTGATCCAAACAAACCGTGTGTTCTTAAAACAAAGGAATTTTCAGTCTTAATAGAGTTTTAAGTCCATTGTCAACTGAAATGTCACACTTTATGCCCTACAAATCCTCTAAATATATCACCTGTATTTTAACATCATCTAACATAGTGCTACAACACAGACCTGAGTTTGAATACTATCTATTCCAGATAGGAACTGATATGCTTAACATCTATGCCTCAGGAAATAAAAGTACTCATGCCAAAGTAGTCATTATATTGAATAACAAGTAACGATGCTACTAACTTGTTTAAGTAAACTATACATACCTTTGGGAAGTTTTCTTTGGGTTTTTGTTGGGGTTTTTTTGGTTCATTGTTTGGACAGGTTTTTGGTGGGGGGGGCGATTTGGTTTTCACAAGAACTCCACAGAGGAGAATGTGCATACACACACATATAAACATATATATATACACACATATTCTTTGTGTGTGTGTTCATATATACATGTATTTGCATTAATAGTTTGCTTTATCAAGTAAGAGAGCATGCATGAGATGCATTGACTCATCAGCTAAAAGTAGTGGAAGAGAAGAAGTGCCATCAGCTCCCAGCCAATTAAATTCCCCCAAGTCCTTCATGAATAGATAAGTTAATTAGTTAAGGCTAAATACACAGGAGAAAAGTATCCTCAGGGTTCTTAAAATGAGCTTCTGACAATAACTCTTGAATAACATTTTAAAGAGATACTGAGCCATATTACTACAAAAGGATGCCAAAGTATGGGGCTGGTGCACATACCATCACTGAAGAGAAAAAAAAATTATATTCATTCAGGAAGACATAGAAATATTTGGAAGGCAGTTAACAGTGAGTCAAAAAACATTAGAAAGAAAAACAGGGCTACAAGTGACACAGAATAAAGAAACAGAAAAGAAGATCCAAGAATAATTTTGTGGAAATCACCTAATCACATATGAAACAACAGACCCTTGCAAAAATCTTTTGTAGTGCTGTGCCAAAGAATGAAAGGCAGCAAGAACTCCTGATTAACAGATTTCTTCAGCTCGCTTGATATTACTGACTGAATTATCAAGTCTGTGCTGTGTCATACAGCTGAAGACTCACCAGTCCTGTTTTTAACACGATTCCAGATTGAGATTTGCCTTCATCTACCTATGTAAAATTTCTGAGAGAGGGAAATACAACCTATTCTAACCATGCTACCTTTCTTAATAAAAAAAAAAAAAAATATAACGTTGTTACATTTCTTTGTAGTGTTTAGGCTTGGACAAAATTCATATTTATGGATGAGGAACCAGTGTCACAAACTTGAATTTCTGCTTGTCATCAGTTACTTTACAGACATTAACACTACTTTTTGTAGTAACAAATATAATATTGAACAATTTCAATTCTATACACATCTGTCCTGATATAGCAGGAGGCAACAGGAAACAAAAGCCTGGTAGCCAACTTTCCCTTTACACATACTTTTTGACAGAACTCCAAACAGAAGTTCCATTTGAGATGCATAATAGAATGTTAAGGCCTCTGCACCAAGTGCTTTCAAAATATATCACTCTAAATCAAGCAGAATGATGGACAACTCCACAAGTAGAGTGACACTTAAATAATGCCTAATCAGTTCACAATGTTGCTATATCACATAGGGATGCCATTAATTTAAGGAACAGAAATCTATAGTGATGATTAAAGCAACTTTATTAAAGGATACAAACTGGTTTTATCTCCAGCTCATCCTACTCATAGGCCCAGCTGCCTTTAAATCTTTGAACACCTCCAGCCCACACATGTGTAATCAGTGGACACTGCGTAGAGTAGTTTTTCTTTCACCATTTGTAAAGGTCAAGCAACTAATTAGTCTTCTTATGCCAGAGGAACAATTTTTATAGCCCTTACTTAGAATATGACTACTTCAAATAGACGTCTGTGTTATACCATGAAAAATTATACCTAATGACAGTTTCTGTTTCTAAATTTTTTAGAAGATAAACATACAACTTTTTAAGAAATCAACAATAAATGATTCTGTTCTGCAAAAAGAAAAGGCATTCCGGAATCCTTGACTTATAAATTCCAAAGATTTCCATATGAAGTACCTTTTACATAGCTAACAAGTCACAAGTATCAGAAAACTATCTATTTCCATTTCATGCAATATTCCCAAGAGAAAATGCTACCAGACAAATTCCACTTATTGCATGACACATACAGTCTCACTGTGAAAAAGTGATTGGAACTGACACTGAAACAAACAGTAACAGAAGCCAGCTGTTAGTACTGCAGGGTTTAAAACCCAGCACTAGCAAGTAGCAGGTCTTACATTTCTCAACAAATAATAAAGGGATGACAAAGCACAACTTTCACAGAATGGGAAATAGGATGCTTTTATTAATTTTTAAATAGAAAAAAATGGATCACCTTTAAAAGACTCTAAAGTCAAACACTGAAAAGGAAACAAATACTAAGTTTGACCTACAGGACAATATTTCTCAGAAAGAGATACAGCTACTGAAGTCATGAATACACAGTAACATTCAAAAAACTTCAAATACAGTATCTCCTCTTTCTCAACTGCTCGCTGACATCATAAGATCAGTCCATCTTTAATTCTTCTAATGAAGTACTACAGTAAGATCAAATACAGCAGCAGTAAGAGGAAAGCAGTAGGCTATTAGACCATTTCCTGACAATATTTCATTTGACGACTTTGATGACATTTTTGTGCAAATTTTATATCTAAAATCATTAGAAGTTACACTGAACATTGAGTCCAAAAGCACAAAGGCTATATACTGCAATTTACCAAATCAACTGTGTACATACATTTTTTAATTATCAGACTTCAAATTAATACTTGAAATGCAGAGTTTAATCTTTATTACTCAGGATAACAACAATGCAAAATAGGCACACTTCACACGCTATCAAAACCTACCTCTCTGATTAGCTTTGCTCCTTTTGAATCCTTCATGTTGATAGCTATACTCTGGGGATTAAAAAAAATACAACAGTAATTTATGTGAAAACCCTTCTGGTGATCATAAGCCTCTTCTACACATAACCAACAGTCAAATTCACACTGCAGTTAATTTGGATAAATAAATTATAACATATACCCCCCACCTCTTTCTGAAAAAAAAAAAAACTCTCTCAGTAGAGTAAGCTGAACTGTCTCACCAATGGATCAGACAAGGTCTAAAACAAGTCTGACAGATGTGCAGCTGGGAGCTGCACCATTTGCAGTCTCTTCACCGTATTATTTGCACAAGACTTACTACTGCAAATACACATGGGGACACCAGAAACATTTGTTTCAATGGCAACAAGCCATTAAACAATTCAGGTATATCATGAAACTTCATGCTAATTCCGAAGTTTCACAAGCTACCTTGAGCCAACCTCACTGTGGTATAATGCCAGCACTCCTTCAGCTCCAGGTGCCAGCTGATGCACGTCAGCTGACCTGATGCACCTGAAAAAAAGGATCATTCAATTAAAATAACCCTTATTGTCAGCAGGTTTCATTTTCAGTCAAGTTGCACCAGCAACTGAAGACTGGAAGGAGCACTTTTGCTTTTTGAATTTGCCTCAACTGTCCACAGCACCATACGAGAGATTTGCAGACTCTTTTGTTCAAAAGCACTCTCGGTTATTCTCCTCAAATTTATTCATCATAACTTAAGGCCAATGTAACTATTGCTCCATTATATATATGTTAAGAATCCAACTAAGAAGTTTTATATATTCAGTTGTAGTCACAGAAAACTTAGGCTAATGTTCAATTCCACCCCCCATTTACCTTTTTATTTCTATTGACACTGAGAAAGTAAACACTTTCTGTCCCAGCAAAAGGTGGGCCCCAGGCTCTTGTATCATCGCCAGCTCCTGAAAGAAATACCATCACAGGTTCATAGTTTTCCAATATCACACTACCAACAAATAAAAAGAATAAAAGGCTTTCCTCCAACATCCCATTTAAATCACCTAAGCTTCATCTAGCAGGCAGGACAAATATTAGTTTAAAATATATATTTTCACTTATTTATACCAAAAACCACCTAAAAGCAAACGTTACTAAGCAAAGCGAACAAAGTGTTTGCTAGTGCTGGGATTACATTTAGTCTTTAAAATACTAATACAGCCACACACCACCAGCGTATTTGCAGGTTTTTTGGTTGCTTTCTTATTTGTGGGTTGATATTTTGGTTGTTTAGTTTTTTTGGGGAGGTTATTTGGGGGATGGGGGGTGGCAGGGAAAGAGGAGTTGGGTTTCTTTTGGTGGTTTGTTTGTTTTAACTTAAGCAGAGTTCCAATGCCATTCTTTTAGGCAATGTGGAAGAATTTAGTAGAAGCTCTTGCTGGACCAATTCACAGTGCACGTGGTCAATAAGCTATTCCTGAAACACTCCAGACGCAACTTCAAGATACCACTGACAGACAACTGATTAAGCTTCATGCTGCAGAAACAAAAAGAAGCACTTCCTATAGCTAGTGCAATGACCCATCTCCAGCTCTTCCAGAAATCCTGCCTTACAGAATAGAAACAAATTACCCAGAGTCCAATCAGAAAGAGCTACAGAAGTTTCTGCATCTGAAAACACAAACTCAAAGGTTGTTAATCTGACGCTTTCAGCACCAGCATCTTCATTCAAATTCAGAAATTTCCCTTTTCAGGGAACTCTCATCTCTATGCAGAAATACCAGATCCTGGACTTTAAAGATACAACTACCTCACGCAGAAAATAACTGTTGTTCACTTTGCATGATTATGAAGAAAAATTTCTCCAACAAGGTAATGTTTAATTAACAACCTGAAACTGTAGTAGAATGTTAAATTTTTTCTCAGGAGACAGTTGATATAGCATGCCAGGTCACCTTGTATTCTACCAGCCAAAATTCTTGCCAAGCCCACTAAGTCTGTATATTATTACAGAAAAGCAGTACCAAGAAACAACATATCTATTTTAAATGCTCCTATTACCTTTCTTCCTTTAACACTAAAATGAAAATTAAAGTGCCTGTCATTTTATCAGTAATCTAATGCTGAGTAGTCAGATGTATTCCTATTTTTAATTATCTACCACACTTTTGCTCAGAGGGAATTGAGATGAAGATTCTGAATTCTCAAATGGGCAAACCACCTTTTCCATAACTATTACATAACTAATTGCTGGGAGGATTTGTGTGCTCTCAAATTTTGCACGTTAAACTCTACACTTAAAACCCTGTTTTAACCTTCTTATCATGTTACATAAAACACCCCATCATACACGTAAGCATTCACAAGCCCAATTTAAAATTGAAGTAAAGTCCAAACAATTCAAACAAAATCAATTCAGCTTTGAGCAAGGCAATAAGGCACTTAGTAAGTGATGACTCTACCATTTTGAATATTAACATCTAAAAAAAGTCACCTGACCTAACAACTTCAACCTTCTCACCTTATTTCCAAATACAGACATAGACTATTTCTGACCAAAACACACCTACATGGAGCATAATGTTAAGCTTAAAGCAAATAGATCATACCTGCATAAGCAAAACAAACCTACTAATAACCAGTTCTTTAACATGACAGAAAGAGTACCACGATAAAAAAAAACATTCCTCAAACTTGAAAACGGCTATTACTTAGCACAATACCATTCACAAACTGTCACAAAAAGCACACTATCAAGAAATAAACATAGTATTGAAAACTTTTGTAAATATTTATATAGACAATGTTGCATTGTCATTCATATATTACTTAAAACACATAAACTACTATTTGTTAAGCTAGCTCACATTCTTATTATATCTAAAATAGAAATCTTACCTGGTTTTTCCACTTTGATAACTTCAGCCCCTAGATCTCCCAAATTCATTGTGGCAAAAGGTCCTGCAAGCACCCTGTAATATTAAAGAAATATTGTTTTCTTAGTTTTTCCAAACAGAATATTTGCATCTAGACACACTGTTCCAAATTACAGACAAAACACAAACCTTGTTAAATCAAGAATTTTCACACCATCCAATGGCTTTACATTACTAGCATCTGTCAAGAAACAGAAAACAGTGACTTTTATCTTAAAAAAAAATAAAATTCAGGAGTGTTTCTCATCAGTTGTCTGAAACACTGTTTTTATGCCACTGTCCCCTCATCTCCCTCCCCAAATACAGGATAATAATCTCCAGGGAGATTTCTGTTAAACAAGTTAATAAGTTTTGGATTTTAATATAATATGCAGACTAAGGAGTATTGTGAAAACATGCCTATCTAGGAATGGCCATGTGTTTTGCACTTTCCGAGCCTTTAGGAAAATCTCAGGCTGCCACCTCCCTTCAGTGCTGCACACCTCAGTGAGTTGCAGGTGTTGAAAAACAGTTGAGCCAGGTAAACACCACCAGCCCTCCAGTGGAACCTCAGTCTTATCAAGCCAGGTGCACCATTTGTTTCACAGTGACACTACTCTGTTTACCAAGAATACGTAAACAGCTTTACTGAAGAGCACAGCTCCCCAAAAGTAAAAATATACACAATTTCAATTTAAAAAAAAAAAAAAGTCCACCTTCTCTATTCTTTCCATGTCTTTTAGAGTTGCACCTTATTATTTAATGGCTCACTCATTCTCATTCTGAGCTGAGTTGCAGGAATCCATAAAGATATTTCTCAAAGAAGCCTATAAAGCATCAAGATTAGCCTGTAATTATGTATTTATGCATAACTAAAACTAATTATCATATCACTCATATTATGGCATCATCTAACACTTCATTCAGGGATTAGGCCTCTTCCATAGTTGGAACAGAATAGGAGAGCACAATCGTTGCCTTGGAGACAAATAGACCATTGTGAATTTTTTTTAATGCCAATAAATAACAGATGTCCACAATAATGAAGAAATGCAAGAAAGAGGAGAGATAAAAAGTTTCCTTTGGAAAATCTGAGGAAAATAATAGACCTGTTAGTTTCTTCAGACTAGAAGATCACAAATGCTCACAAAGAAAATATACAGGACCTAGAGCTGCATTTCAGCAAGTCAATAATTTGCTGAAACAATTAAAACAGAAGGTGTTTTGACTATCAGAGAAGCAGTAGTTCCAGTACACTGATCCTGAGTACAGGAATGCTATCTATTGCAGGAACATAAAGAAATAAAACCATATCACAAACAGACACAAGAGATCAGAATTGATCAGTATTACCTAGAAACATCTCCTGGGCTTTTTTTTGGTTAATTTTTGGTGGGTTTTTTTCTTTCCTCGCTAGCTTCCAAAGTGGGTGTGTACCTCCCCAAGTTTTTTGTTGGAATTCTGGTTCAATAGGTTAAATTTTCTGAAAATGTGAACTCACATTTTCTCTTGTATTTTTGCTTTTAATTATTCCAGTAACTTGATGACTGAAAGAAAAATCCACTCTCCCTGCTATAACTATATCCTATATGTAAACTCTCAATTTCCATGATGCTTGAATTTACTGTGAATTGGACTATCATATGTATCTTTTATAAATAATTTCAATTAAGAATAAATCGACCCAGTTACTCTCAATATGATTTACATTCTTTAGTTACGCTCAGTAAGATATCCCAAGGTTAGCCTAACCTAACAGTATGAGTAAGGAAAAAACAAAGAAGAGAAATTAATTTTTATAGGATATTCCCAAATGATTTCCTTTATACTTTAAAGGGACAGAAAAGGGCACCAACAAGAGTGCCAATTAACGCATTTTTGCATCAATGCAAATTAACAGTCCTCATTCCAATTACATTCAATTCCAGAGGACATAGCTCCTCAAGTCTATTGTCTCTACTTTGATTGCACAATCAATATTTTTTACTTTATCCATGCAGCAAGTTATAATCAAGTCCATCACTGCTGTGGATTAATTCATGATCAATGGGTACATTCCAACGTACACACCTGGTACTTTCATCGTGGGAGACAGAAATGCAAACTTCCTTCAATTCTAATGCCACCAACGCTATTGTTAACTATTTTTCTATGTCACTAAACAAGAGAGAAACGTGAAGCTAGAGAAGAATTACTTTGTTGCAGCTTGGATTTATTTTCCTTCATTTAAAAAGAG